AAAAAAAAAAAAAGTCCAAATACTGAGAAAGCTGGAGCCCCCAAACAGATGTGCACAACTCTCGAAAGCATATACCACTGTGGTTACACTTGACTACTCTTGGAGTTAATATTGCCTCAGGCACTTCCTGTATGGTGCATTCTTCCTGAACAGTGACTTTCCACCATTACCAACCTAAGCCTAGTTGAGTAAAGGGACAAGTGACAATACTTGTTCTAGGAGATTGCCGTCAGACTAACAGAAGGGGTCCAGAAATAGAATGCTTTGGGTTCAACAAAATTTTGCAGAAATAAAGGGATTGTTTCTGAGATATCTATCTATCTATCTATCTATCTATCTATATAGATATATATCTCAGGTAGGTGCTGTATCAACTTGGTTGTAAGATGTGAAAAGCAGGTACCAAAATTCAGACACTGAGGTGCACTCCTATAATCCCCAATTTGGGAATCCACGTTTTATATATATATAAAATGTGCCTTGACCTAAAACATCTCTCCAGCTCCATCCAATTTTCTGGAAACGGAACTCAGAGTAAAGTAAAGTGTGCATGAGGAGTTCAGGCATAACATAAAAGTGTTGTATATTTAATAAAACAGTAGCACTGTTGAAAATTGAGTTTGGGTATGAAAATCCCACAATTTTTAGATCCACTTCAAATGAGTTGGGGATCAGAAAATGGTGATACTTTTCAATAAAATGTTCATCAGCTGTTTGGTCTATGAGCAATGTTCAACTTGTAGGTCAGTTATCTAGACAGCATAGTGATGAAAGCATCGTGATACAGCACTCCTTTAATACCAGCTCTTGGGAGGCACAAGGCAAGGAAGGCAAGCCTCGTCTACACAGAGAGTTCTAGGACAGCTAGGGCTATGTGGAGAGAGCCTGTGTAAAAAAAGTTTTTAAAAAGAAAGAAAAATGCTAGGCAGCTCATCACTACATTCTGAGAAGATTAGAGAAAAGATAGTAAATCATAGTAATAAATTATATTTGAACTACATGAGATAAAGAAATTACATAGTGCTTGATAGCCAGAAATGTCGAGAAAGTCAGGAATAACTCTTTCCTGAAGGCCACGGCTGTCGGGATCTCTTGTGCATTACAAGCTCAGACTTTCGGCCACTTTTCTAAGCCTCTAATTAAACTGACTATTGTTGAGGAGGGTAGGCAAGAATTTCCACTGCCACAACACACTGGAGATATAAGGGCAATGCTAGCCTAGCAGGCCTGGGGAAACTGATAGTCAAAGTCCTTCAGAACAGAGCCCCAAATGTTGCTTACAATTTTAAAACTCACTGCTGACACATGTAAAAATAAGACATTCAGGTGATAAGAGCCTTCCCTTGCCTTCTTCCTCATTTTGTTTTCATTTTGTGACAGGGACTTTCTGTATATGTAGCTAAGGGTTGGCCTTAAACATGAGATCTTCATACCCTGGATTCCCAAATGGGGGATTATAGGAGTGCAGCTCAGTGTCTGAATTTTGGTACCTGCTTTTCACATCTTACAACCAAGTTTATACAGTACATACCTGAGAGATATAAGCATATATATATGCATACATAATAGTTCACATGCAGTAATAAAGACCATTGCGCATGTGCTATTGCATGTGCTAACCACTGAAAGGGTCATGTTGATAAATCCTGACACAAGGTCTCTACCAAAGACATTATATATTTATACTTTGTCCATTCTACATTAATTAGTTTCAGGAAAGTTTAAAACAAAACAAAACAAAAAACTGCTCTAGAGATGCAGTTAAGAATCTGGCTCTTGCCAGAGGAAGAGACAAGAGAATCTTTGAGTTCAAAGCTAGCCTGGTCCACAGAGTGAGTTCCAGGACAGCCAAGGCTACACAGAGAAACTCTTCAAAAACAAACAAACAAGCAAGCAAGCAAACAAATAAGAACCTGGCTCTCTCTTTAGGTCTGGAATCCAACCCTGATAATAGAGCCAGAGCTATTCCTGAATGAAAATGATTTAATGATTGTGTTTGTTGCTACAATGGACATGTAGACTTACTTTATAGTCACTTATCACGATAGTGATTCATTCTCTAATTTCTACCAACAGTGTAAATCTGGGAAGTGCTGAGTAGATTACAGATATACCATTTTAATTTGTATAAGCAAAGTTTATTCCCCTCCACAGTAAATTGCAACTAGAATACTAATAAGCCTTTAGTTGGATATGAATATAATTTTTTAAAATTATTTAAATTTTTTAAAATTTATTTTTATTTTATGTGCATTGGTGTTTTGCCTGCATGTATGTCTGTGTGAGGTTTTCAGGTCCCTGAGAATTGGAGCTACAGACAGTTGTGAGCCACCAGGTCTTTTGGAAGAGCAGTGAGTGCTCTTAACCACTGAGCCATCTCTCAAGCCCCATGAATATAATTTTTTTAAATTCATGTTTTATGTGAAATATAGATTAAACAGCCAGGCATGGCAGTACAGGCAAAGTAAAGAAGAACACGAGTGTGAGGTCAGCGTGGTGTATTTAACTAGCTAGGCTCTCTCTGAAACAAACAAAATACTATCTTGCTTTATTTGTTTGTTTGTTTGAAACAGAGTGTCTCTCTATAGCTCTGGCTGTCCTAGAATTATATAGAGCATCTTTAAAAATTTATAAAAATTATCCTGGTGCTCGGCATTCAACCTAATGGCCTGAAACACTTCCAATGAGCTATATTTTGTGTAAAATAGAAGTATGTTGGGAACTACTCCATTTCACTGAAGAAATTTTCTCTGGCAAACAAGCTACAATGAATTTGTCCTTCTTTCCTGGTCTTTAATGCTAAAACTAGTATAAAAAGGAGCCAGGAGCTGTGGTGACTGCTTTTAACCCTAGAATTAGAGAGGCAGGGGCAGTCAGATGTCTGTGAGTTTGAGGCTGGCCTGAACTACATAGGAAGTTCCAGGCCACCTAGGGCTCCATAGTGAGACCTGGTGTCTTAGTTAGTGTTCTATTACTGTGAAGAGACACCATGGTCATGGCAACTCTTACAAACAAAAACATTTAATTGGGATTGGCTCACAAGTTCACAGGCTTAATCCATTATCATCATGGCAGGAAGCATGACAGCATTCAGGCAGACGTGGTGCTGGAGAAGTAGCTCCGAGTCTTACATCTCCATCTGGAGGCAGCAGGGAGAGTGAGCCACTGGGCCTGGCTTGACATCCTGAAACTTCAAAAGCCCACTCACCCCAGTGACACATTTCCTCCAAGGCCACCACAGGTCCTAATCCTTCAAAGAATACCACTCCCTCTAAGCCCATGGGGGCCATTTTCATTCAAACCATCACATCCAATTTCTAAAATGAAATTCATACTTACAGATTTATATACATACTTAAACAGGGACAAAGAATGCTAAAGATAACCTGGCTTTTAAACTATGCTATTTTCTTAGATGTAATCATTTGATTTTATGTGTTTTGCCTGAATGTATGTCCGTGTACCACGTGGGTTTGTGATGCCTACAAAGGAGCCAGAATAGGGCATGAGATGCCCAGGTACTGGAGTAAAGGATGGTTGTGAACCACTATGTGGCTGCTGGGAATCCAACCTGGTTCCTCTGGAAGAGCAGCCAGTACTCTTAACTGCTGAGTCATCTCTCCAGCCCCAAATCTAGGCCTTTTAGACTTCAACTTTTAAACCCCTATACCTAAATTTGATTTCAGGACAATTTTTTTTGCATATTTTATTTGCTCGAGGGGGGGCATCTGAATCCAACAGAAAGACTTGAAGCAGAACTGGTGCACCGGGTCTCTTACCGCTGCTGATTTCCTCAAGGCCCTAGTTTTTGCTGATGACATTTCCTTTTCTGCCCCCAGCTCCGCAACTCCTTTGACACATCTTCGGTACACTTTGATTTCTTAATTTTAAAACTCAATTTCTAGCTTTCAGTTTTGTCGGTGTATGCCAGTGGCCTCATACACAGTTGCTGTACGGTATGCAGGAACACTTGGAGCTGGGATTCTAAAATGATAAGCGATGCAAAGTCTAAAGGAGAAAATAGCATATATTAAAAGCACCATCAGTGGAAAGCACACGTTGTCTTTCTTGGGAAAGAAATACTCCGGGGGGGGGGGGGAGCCCGGCTAGAGGAGGAAACGACCCACAGCTGGGAAAGGAAGAGGTGCATTTAGGACTGAAGGGCACAGACAACTCATCTCAGGCAATTTCCAAGGTTGAAAGTAATGGGGCACTTAGGGCATGACAGGCTTCTCTCCGGAAAGAAATGGACCGTTATTCACCAAGGGCCAGTCTTTCAATAAGACACTGAAATCGCGCGGGGTGGTGGGGTGGGAAGGGGTGTACTGTACTGAAGCTGGATTGCAAAGACAACACAGTTCCTACTCTTAAGCACACCTAGTTTACAAAAACACCTTGAAAGAGGTGTTAAAATGCCTCTTGCAGAGAGAAGCAACTGAACCCTTAAAGCGGTCCGTAGACTTCACAGAGGAAGTGAGTTGTGGGCTGGGAACCAGAGCAGTGATACCGGTTCCTTATTTTGGAAAATGAATGGTAGCGGAATGGATCATCCCAGAACAGGAAGAGTCGGGCTTTAGATGAAGGCTGCGAACATCTAACAGTAGCAAGGACTGGGATGTGTCTGCCAGCCAAGGGTCCTGTTTGCCAAGAACCTATGCAACCCACGCGGGTCTGTGTGGATCGCCACATTCAATAATCGCTAACAGATGCTCTCATATGTTTAAATATCTGCTGAGATTTTGCATACGCACTTTTAGGGCCATGTGGGGTAGGGGTGCGGAGCTCCTCGAGGCTCCCCCGCCCCCCATCTTTTCAAAAGGAGAAGCCAAGCATTCAAATTAGCGGGAAGGCGGTTAACACCCGCAGCCCCGACTCTACAGAACGCACCGCCGCTCGCCCAGAGGCACCAGGCACGTCGCCTGAAGCGAGGGCCTAACAGCACCAACCGCCGCGGGGCCGCAACCGATGCAGAGTCGCGCGCAGCAGGCGTTGCGCCGTCCGGTCTTGAAGCCGGGCGAGGATCCAGGCGGGATCCTGACGAACGGCCCCTCCATCCAATGGGACATCAGATCGGCTTTTCCCTCGCCAATAGGAAGCGGAACCTCGGCGAGGGGGCGGGAGTTCTTGGTTGAGGGATCCGATCCCGCCCGGCGGCAGTCGAGGCGGGGTGCGGATTAGGGAGGAGGGAAGACCGGAAGCCACGGCCCCGGCCCCATCCTTACTTTCGCGTTCCCCCCGGGGGCTGGGAGCTGCGAAGCTGGCGGAGGGAGAAGCCGGGGGCCGGCTGGGAGAGAAAGGGAAGCGTCCCCTCAGCCCGCGCTCCCTCCTCAGCCACGGGCTCCTGGAGCGCGCCGCGGAGGACGCCGGGGCCGCTCCGAGCCGCGCTGAGGAGGCGCAGCCCGCGGCGGGGACCGATCGGCGACATCTGAGGCCGAGCGTCTCCCACGCCACCTCGACCGCCGCCATGTCCTCCACCTCCTCCTCCCCGAAGGAGGAGACGTACGAGGAGGACCGCGAGTTCGAGAGCCAGGCCAAGCGCCTCAAGACCGAGGAGGGAGAGATCGTCTACTCGGCGGAGGAGAGCGACAATCGCCAGGAAGCGACGACGCCTCAGGCGGGGAGCGAGAGCGGCGGCGAAGGCGACCGCGGCGAGGGA